TCCATACGTTACAATTTGTGTAAGGCTCAAAGGACAAAATTTTACCTTTACTTTTAAAGAGCTAAACATTTAGTATGGGAGCTATAATATGATAGATTTACATTCAACTTTAATATGATAGTCTGCTAAAGCTTTGACCTTAAATATTCTCCAAAGGCTCATATGTTGATGCTTTGGTCATAAGCTTGTATTGTTATTGGGATGTGGTGGAAATTTAGGAAGCAAGACCTAGTGGGAGGAAGTTAAATCACTAGGAGGGGGTGTGCTTACAGGAGATTTAGGGGACCTCGGGTCCTTCCTCTCTCTCTCTTTCTGCCTTTTAGCCGCCATGAGGTGAGTAGTTTCCTGTACCACATACACGCGCCATGATGTATTGTCTTGCCATAGGCCCCAAGCAATACAGCCAACTAACCATGGACTAAAACCTCCAAAACTGTGAGCCCAAATAAACCTCTCTTCTTTTTAATTTGATCACCTCTCTCCCTCACTCCTCAAATCATCAGGAAAATTACCCAAGTCACAATATGCTTGGTCCATTAAAAAATTTCTTTTGGGGGGTGGGAGGAAGCTGGTAAAAGGGCTAAGTTCTGAATCAAAATTGGCAATGTTCCAAAACAGTGTCTTCTTGTGTAGATGATAAGAGCTCATAAGTGGTAGCTATTGTCACCCATGTTACCACAGCAAGTGCATCAGACACAGGAACGACCCATGAGGGCTGAGAGGAAGGAGGGCTCAGCTGGCTTGGGTGGATCTATCCTTAATTATACTGTTCTCAAACATAAGTTCCAGCCAGACAATTGTTAAGAAAAAGCCTTTGTTCAAATCTTAGGGCCAAGAAAGCATTTTACAGTCTAGATTCTAAAGAGTTCTATAGGTTGGAAGTCTGTATGAATGCAAACTGTATGAATGCGAACTGTATGAGCCTTTGTGTTTTAGTAAAGGATGCTTTGGGAACATAAACCTGTTTGTCTTCATGGCACGCAACTCATGAGTCAAGTTTTATGTGATAAGAGTGAATATGCCATGGGTACATGCTTTTTTTTGACTTCCTGATATACACGCAAGACTGATTTCAGGAGTTCCTTGACATTTGCGGTTAACTCTCACATGTTCTTTACTGGGCTTCTCTTTGCTTTTCTACATCCCTCTGCTCTCATTGCTACTTGCTGTAGTGTTTTCTTTCAGCTGTATGGATCTCATACTCGTTACTGCTTTCTGACTCCATCTCTTTGGCAATATCCTAGCCAAGGTACACTCTGAGTTCGGGATGGATCCACCAGTGAGCTCAGACTGGTCCATGCTCTGCTGATGGATGTGGGCATGGTGTCTAGAAGTCTATCAGCAGAGGGAGTGAGCTGTCTCCTAGGGGAGCTTTACTTTACACACAGTGGCAAGTCCATAAGCACAGGACAACAAACTCAGCACAGGAACAAAGTTTTAGTCCCTGGAGGAAAAAGCAATTCTATGAAGAGCAACGACTGGAACTTCTCCCCACCACCATATGCTCAGGTCTGTATTTTATAAACATGTTCAGTGACTAATGTAGCAGAAACTGAATCCATGCTCCCCAAACTCATTTCTTTTCCTTCCTGTGTTTGCACCTTCCTGGTACACATATTCTGCATCTGGTTCTAGCAGAATAAATGTGGGCAGATGTCACCTACACCAGCTCCAGGCCTGTACGATCTGGAATGCAAATGCTCTAATGAAGGTTTCCACAGGCTTATGGATGAAGAAGCCCCAAAGAGGAAGACCCCAGATCCCTGAGTGGCTGGGAGGAATAGAGCCCCAGGGCTACCTACTCTACCTCCTGCTTTGTGACATAAGCAAAAAACAAACTTGTGTTCTCTGATATCACTGAACCATTGAGGTATTTCGTTTTGACAATTACCTTGTCCTGATTGACTAAGTAAAAACGGGAAGCTCTGTCTAATGAAAATACTGCATTGACCTTGAGGAATATGCAGTATAGCACTGGCCATTTTCTAGTAATAAAGTATAATTTAAAAAGAAGAGAGCCATTCTTCCCTACTTTCTATTGCACTGCACAGTTGTCATATTTTAACCCGTGATGTGGTACTCACTGGTGAGACACAGGAAGAAGCCCTTTGAGAGGAGGCTACAGGCCTGGCAATCCCAGTGGTGGGACCAATGGGGAAGGGTGGCAGCTTTTGATGGGCACAACAGTTGTGGCTCCAAGAGGAAGTCCTGAAATCTAGTAGGAGAGTCATGACCAGCAGAAGTAACCATGGCATTCAGGGAATGCCAAGTATTAGATGGCCAGGTCTGATGTCCTTTAAGCAAGTGTAGGACACATGGAGATTTTGAGCGATACTTGGAATATCACAAAAGCAGTAAGAGCAGGCAACTATAGGATTCCTTTGTAAGTCATTGGGACCTGAGAGAATTGGGGAGAAATACTCCCACTATAAATCAATGCAGAAGGAGTAAAAGGCAGTTTTCTGGCTTCAGTTGGGATTTTCAGAAGACATAATTTCTCCCTTTCTCGGAGGCACAGCTGTCAGGAAGGTGTTCCTCCCTGGCCACTTTTGCTTTACTTTTCTGGAGGTGAGCCAAGTTCACAAGTCAGGCAGCTTCTGGGCATATCTGCATTTTCCACAGTGACCTCAGTGGGAGTTTTGGCATCAAAGGTATTTACAGTACACCTGGTAGCTAGACAGGAACTCACAGGTGTTCTTTATATAAAAGACAAAGATCCTGATTCCTTTGGTAACTGCTTTGAACTTTTTCTTTGATTGAAAGAAAAGTACATTACAGTTGAAAAGCACAGATGAACAGATCTGAGTATTTCTGTCCAAGTTTCTCTAGTTCTGATTTCTTTTTATTTTTATTTTTTTATTTTTTTTTATTTTTTTTGGTTTTTCTCCGGTACCGGGAACCGAACTCACGACCTTGCGCTTGCCAGGCAGGCGCTTTTGCCGCTGAGCTAAATCCCCAGCCCCTAGTTCTGATTTCTTATAGAGAAGTTCATATTTACCAGCTCTTATACATCTCCAGGTGTCCTACACTTTGAGCAAAGGATGATCAGATCTATAGTTCCTATGTTAAAATGGAAAAAATAATGTAGCAGGATGGGAGAGATTTCTGGCAGGGGTCAGGGAAACAAAATGGAGAAAAGCTGAGGGATCTGGGGAGGGAAGGATTTCTCAGGATTGCTTCCCACTGAAAATCATTTGTGCAAAGCTGGGGTGATTATGATGGAGTGTAAATGCTATGTAGATTAGGCATAGAAATCGGACAGGCTGGCGACGCTACATCTGTTTGACGTGTGTGTGCTCGTGTTTGTTTATGTGAGTACATATAAGTGGATGGGTGATCACGGGCACTTTGGGTAACTATACAATTTGAAGCAAAGCTTTTCATCAAAATTTAAACTCTACAATTTTATATTTTACTTAGGTCACAGAAGAAGGGACACTCCTGGAATATACCTTTTCACTAAGAAAATGAACAGATTTTCCTCCCACCCCATGTAACCTGGCTGTTCTGGTCCCCCCGCCCGTTGCTCTGAAAGCTCAAATTCTTGCTGTTCTACAACTAAAACTGTCACATCTTTTACCCTTTTATACTTAAGGATGGTTTTTCTCTGTCTTTGTATCCCAGTATGTGTTCTAATTAGCTAATCTGATATCGGGTAAGCAACGACTGGCTCACTGTGACTTGTGTTTCTTTTTTTAGATGACCTACATTGATGTAAAATATGGTTTTTAATCATGCTTAGAGAAAAGGGGCAGACAGTATACATTTTGGGTATTGTAGAATGCTGAAGGAATTAATCCATAGATAAATTACTGAACCCTTAAATTATTATCAACTTTATCATTTGTTATTAAGTTAAAATTTAAATTGTAAAAAGCATTAATAAATTATCAATTGAAAGAAGTGTTAAAACTAATAAAACACTAATGCCAGGTACTGTTCTGAGTACCTCATATTTAATTTAATTCTCAGTACAACTCTGTGGAATAGGAACTGTTTTAACTCCATTTTACAGATGAGGAAATTGAGGCAGGGAGAAATGAAGCAATTAGCTATCTGTGTAGCTGGTAGGAGATGACAGAGTTGGGATTTGAACTCAGGAGGCCTCAGAGTCTAGGCTCTGTCAGAACCAGCGATCTTTCTTCAATGGGAAAAGGAGGTGAAGAGATTGCTAGAGCATGGGCTTCCTCAGGCAGAAGGGTCTTCCCTACAATTCCTCAGGGGATGATGTGGCCTCTGACGTGACTGGTATCTTGGAGCTTTTATTCTGACACTAACAAGCAACACCATTCTTCCAGATCTTGGTTTTTCTCTTCAACAAAATAAGGAGATGGAGTAGATCGCTTCTAAGGTCGTTCTGGTGCCAAGGTAATGTAACGTCTTTAGCATCCCTGCATTAAAACGTTGATCTCGCGGTGTCCCTGGGGAAGAAGCAAGTTGGTTCCTGCTTCCTAGACCTGGCAAGCCAGAAGCTTTGGGGTAGGGTGCTGCGCAGACACCTGCAAAGAACTGGGAACAAGAAACGTGGGTTAGGGAACTTCAGCGTGTACCGGAGAAACAAAAAAGAAACACCACGAACCGTGTTTTAAACAGATCACATAACGCCATTCTCCCAGCGAGTTTATACAGTGCCTAGTGTCCTCTCCGCTTAAAAACGAAGCTGAAGCTTACACAAACACCCCAAATGACTTGCCCAACATGGCCCGGCCAGTGAGCAATGCAGATAAGCTTCAAATCCAGTTCGTTCAACCCCAAAGCCCACGCACATTTCACAACCCGCGCCTCTATAAGTATCTGTTATCTCACTGCAGTCTCTCCGCAAGGCTAGGAGGTGGTTATTGTTGTCTGCATACACAGATGAGGCAAGCGAGGCTTACAGTGGGGAGGTGACTTGCTAGGCGACCTGTGCTGCAGCCCGGCACCTCCTCCTGCCGGGCTGGGCGCGGGTCCCACCTTCCCGGGACGCAGCCCCCGCGCAGCCGGCAGCGAACTACACTTCCCGGCAGGACGCGCCGCGCGCACGCGCACTGGGGCCTCCGCCATGGCGACAGTGCTGTCCAGGGCGCTCAAGCTCCCGGGTAAGGAGTCGCAGCCTCGCGACCACCCGGCCCTCGCCGGGGCTGGGGGTGAGAGGGAGGCGAGGGCCGAGGGGCGCGGCTGGTCCGGGACTATCCGACCCCGGAGGGCTGCGCGCGCCCTGGGGCGAGCGGGGTGCAGCGCC